CTGCCTTTACAGTGACGTCATCATCGTATATCACAGCGCCACAAAGCATCTCCTCGAACAGTTTTGGACGATAATTGTGCTAATAGCGTGCTCCCCGAATGCACCCCTTGTGTGTTCACACAACGACCGAACGACCGCACGTATGCGTGGCGCCACGAGGCGCGCGCCACACCGGAGCTGCCCTCTCGAAGGGCGGGAGCACATCGCTCGTTCAAAGCTCAGCTCCTCATAATAAAGTTAAAACATTCTTATCAAATCCTTACAAAGACCTCACTAGACAAAAATAAGGAAACCTTTCGTTAATGAAACTTTAGAAATAATGCAGAAACATAAATTGCTGATGCACCGACTAGGGCTAAAATGTGTCAATCGACATGGCAATTGCATACAAAATCTTATTCAATACAAGTTCATTCCACCTGCAGTATACAAAGTATAATTGCAGCATCAAATTATAATTTACTATTGATTATCTATTAAAAGCTATGACATTACCATATAAACGCAGTATAATAATACTTTCATTGATTAATTATAATCTTTAATAGAAATTACGTGGATGTAGATTTATCCACAAACTATCCACATGGATGCAACGTTCTTTTTTCATCACTAATCGAAGTCTTTTATCCTCGAAATGTCGATAAAAATTCCCTGTACATATCTCTTAATAGATATATCCACAGAGAATCTACATTGATATTTCGAGGATAAAAGACTTCGATGTAGTGATGAAAAAAGAACGTTGCATCTATGTGGATAGTTTGTGGATAAATCTGCATCCACGTAGTCCACGTAAATTACGTGGATTCGACGTGGATGTGACGTGACTGTTTTTATCGGGCATTTTCTTGCGTTGCGTAAAAATATTGTGACGCGAGCTGTTGGACAACGTTAAGCTTTGTAACGCATCATAGAATTATGCACATTTGTTGTAATAAAACTTATATTAGTGTTATAAATAGCGTTTTCGATTTGTTGACTCGACCCGACTCGGATCAGTTTGGTTTGAAACTCGATGACTAAACTATCATAGCAAAAAGCGTTTCTTAACCTCTATTAAAGATTCTTAGCATAGATTATCGTGGCATATTATCATATTTTATTATCATTTTTCCGAACTTTCAATCTGACCCGAGTCGGGTGGAGTCAACAAATTGAGAACGCTATAAGATTATTTGTATTATAGATATGAAAATGGCTGCTGCTATGATTTTAATGGATCTATTGAAAGTTGAAGAAGAAGGAGAAATAATGAGAGAAAATTCTGAGACAATGAAAACTTTGAGGAATACTATTGACCCTTTTGATTTAACAGATCGGCAATTTGTAAAAGTCTTTCGCTTATCAAAAGATGCAGTGCGCTATTTATGTGATGTTCTTCAATGTTCCTTGCAGCGTAGAAGAAGAGGATTAAGTGTGGAAACTCAAGTAATTATATCCATTTGCATTGCAAATATAAAATAACATAGAATCATAGAACTTTTATTGAAATATATTAAAACAATTAATACAAAAACTTTAATGTTCACAGATTTTTACCGCATTGCGGTTTTTTGCTACCGGTTCATATCAAAAAGCTGTTGGAAATGATTATTTAGTATCAGTGTCACAATCTGCTGTCAGTCGGGCAATAAAAGCAGTTGCAGTTAGTATTACTCAATTACTTGCTCACGAATGGATTAAGTTTCCAAGAACGAAAACGAACAGCTTTAAAAAGAAGGTAACTCCGTAATTATAATGAAGCACTAGAAATACAAATCAGAGAAACATTTATTTTCAAAACATTATATGCACATTACATAATAATATCAATCAAACTAAATTATACATGATTGTTCCGATTGCTTAGAACAATTCTTAAGAAGTCTTTTTTTTTTAAGTAATAAGTTTATCTATTTAATGTAATTAGTTTTTTATGAACACTTTTTTTAATATTCTATTCTCTACTATATATTCTTACAGATTCCAAGAAGAAAGAAATTTTGAAGGAGTTATAGGTTGTATCGATTGTACCCACATTGCTATAGTAAGACCGAAAAATCACGAGGAAGCATATGCAAATCACAAGGGCTTTCATTCCATTAATGTGCAAGCAGTAAGTTACATAATTAAGGGGCTACATCCACCTAAAAATTTTTTTTTTGCATTTTTTAAAAGTTTTAAGTGTTGAGAATATATCCTGAAAATTTTACATCGATATCTGTAAAATTGACAAAGTTATAGAATTCCAAAAAAAACAAGTTCAAGCGTTCGAGCGTTTGAGCTCCGCTATCTGACACGGCGCGCACGGAAAATATCGCTCTAGCGGTATTTTGGGTTTCAGTTGTCCTCTTGATCTTGTGTATTGTTACTCTTCTGTTCTGTATTCGAGTTTTTGAAAAAGAGTTTGCAAAAAAAAAACCACGGGTCTCGGTGGTAAAGGCAAATTGACTGGAAAA